ATATGTAGATTTCTGCCCTCCTTCCCCCATTTTTAAAGCACTGACTTGCTCTTATCACTCAAAAATACATCATTCACACTCTTCTATATTAACAAATATCTCCCTCATTTTTAAACAGCTACTTACTATTCCATACCATATATGTACCAAATGTACTTAACAATTTCTCTATTCATAAATGTTGAGGTGTGGTCCAATTTTTGGGAGGGAGAGGCTCTACAAATAATACTACAATAGACATACATGTAAATATATTCTTGCACACTTAATATTTCTGTTGGGTAGATTACTTATAGTGGAAATGCACAAAGTACATATGCATTTTTAATATTTATAGACACTGCAAATTGCTTTCCAGATGTTTATCAATTCTTACTCCAGTCACTTCAGTACAAAAGTTATTTCTTATATATACAAACACTTGATATTAAAACATATTTTTTCCAATCTGATAAGTAAAAATTGTTATCGTTTTATAATATTTACACTCTGATCATTGGTAAGGTTGAGTATGTTTTTATATGCTTATTAGCACATATTCCTTCTTTTGAGAATTACCTCTTCCTATGTCCATTTTCTTATTTTGCTGCTTCTCTTTTTCCTAATGATTTCTAGAAGCTATTTGTTATTTTGCATATTAACCCCTTCCTGTTGTGTATATATGTTGCATGTATTTTTCTCCCATTAAATAACATTGTTTATGGTACCCTTCACTGTATAAAAATATTGTGTGTGTGTGTGGGGGGGGGGGTTGTAGTCAAATATGTTTAATCTTTTCTGTTATAGTTTCTGGGGTTTTTAGCAAGATATTTCTAGCTAGTATTATAAAGATAACCAATATTATAAACGATTCTCCTATATTTCTTTTAGTATTTTATAATTTTCTTTGTTTAGATTGTTAATCCTCCTGGATTTTTTTCCTTAAATATGAAAAAAGATAGTGTATCCGTTATGCTTAACTCAACAGAAGGTTTGTTTTTTTACAAAGATATCATTTCAATGTGGGTGTTCAGCAAGTAGTCACCATAGAGAGACTCAGAGACTTGGGCTCCTTCCATCCTGTGTTGCTACCCTCCTCTCTTTAAGGAGTCAGCAAATTATTGCACGCAGGGCACCTCAACCCACTGCCTGTTTTTGTAAATAAACTTTTATTGGAACACAAGCATGTCCATTTGTCTGCACAGTGTCTATGGCTGCTTTCTTGTATAATAAAACAGCCGAGTTGACTAGTTGGGACAGAGACATATGCCTCACAAAGCCTAACATATTTACTTTATAGCCCTTTATAGGAAAAGTTTGCTGACTTCTGCTCTGGAGTCTCCGAGTCCTTAGTTTCCACATAGCAGATGGAGCAGAGAGATCATGCAGGAGGTTTTCCATTAGTGGGGACCGGGAGTGGAGTACAAAGCTTCCATCTACATTTCACCAGCCAGAACTCAGTCGCTTGGCTTCATCTGTGAAATGTGAATTAGTTGTGCATCCAGGAAAAGAGAGAAACAGATCTGTAGAATTATTAGCCATTCTCTGCCACAGTGTGCCCTGTAATTATTTGTTTCTTTCTTCCTGCCCATTTTTAATCAGAATAAGCTAGATTACACTGCAGAAACAAACAACTCTTAAATCTCAGCGGCTTAGAATAATAACAAAGGTTTATTTCTCATTCATACCACATATCCATAAGGGTCAGCAGAAGTGACATAGCTCATTGTTGTCATTCATTCCAGTCCAATGGAGCAATCACCACCAGGCACCTTGTTGGTTGCAGTACTAGAGGGAAAAGAGAACGTAGTGATGCATAGACTACTTCGTAACTTCTGCCCAGACTGACAACTCATCACTTCCACCCACCTTTCACTGGCTGAAGCAAGTCGCAAGACTATACTGTACTTCAGTAGGGTGGGGAAGTGCAATCCTATCATGTGCGTCAAAGGAAGCCGAGCTGGAATATTTGTGAACACCCCTAATGAATATCACACACACACACACACACACACACACACACACACACAGAACACATTCATTTCCTCTCTAAGGGAAATCACCCAGATTCTACCCAGTCACAGTCAAGGATCACTAGATGACAGACCCTCCAGCAGGTCTGAATAGCAGTCTGGATAATGGTCTGAAGCCTGACAATGAAAATCACTCTCTGTCTCCAACACCGATCCAGGTGTCAAAATTCTAATAGAGACAACTACTGACCATGGTCTAAAACAGGTTCTGAGCTACTGGGATCTGAGCTACTTCCATGAATGTGAACCCTGATCTGAATGACCATGCCTGGAGAATCAGGAACACGGCACAATCTACGGGTGGAAAGTAGGGAATACGTCATTTTGCTGAAATCAATACTGCAGGGAAACAGTCAGCCTCATTGAAGGATATGTCACTGTTCTCCTTACAATTAAGCATACTGGGTAGAGACCAGAGGTGGCAATATGGAGAAAAGCAGTAGACACAGATTAAAAATACCTGTATGGAAATATTAGAACATATAAACTAATATGTTTTGTGCATCCCTCAGAAAATGTTTACTCATGATTTTCGTTAGTTTGCTTAAGAAAAGACCTTCGCTCTTCTATTTAGCTTAGAAAATAGTAAAATCAGATTTATGAATTATAATCAGAGAATCATTTGGAACAATAGAATCACACTAACATTAGACAGATAACTTCCTGATCAAAATTTCAAATAATTTTTCAAATATTTTCAGTATCTGGTGCCAACAACAATACATATTTTTTCATATTGTTTCTTTGGATTTGTCTATCTCCATGTAATTATAGAAATAACTCATATGTTTTAGAAATCATTTATGCTTAACTCATCAAAATACTGCTTTCTTAGTTATTTGACGTGCAAGAAGTTTTTACATACTTTTCAATGAGTATTTTAAATTCTCTCTCCCAGAAACAGTTTTCATTTTTTCCCCGAGTAAATTAATTTAAACATCAAAAGGTTTAAGTTTGATTTGAAACTCACTGTCTATAAAACTTTTAAAAGTCTGATTTCTTTTGCTAGATCCTATAGCTAACTCTTCAAAGCTGTAATTATTTTCTTTACTTTAATACTGTCTTTTCATGGGCTAGGCCTCCATTTCCAGTAGAGAATTAGTTTTATCTAGTTTGTGGTACGGTGACTACTTCTACACTCCTATTCTCCATCAATTCAATAGTTTAATATTTGTGCTCTCAACACACATACCAGCTATTCTCACGGCTACCACCTACTAACTGAGAAAGAACCCACAAATGTAAAAGGCCATCGTGCATGGGCTTCTGAAAACTCTTTCTTCCCTCTGGCCATATTCAGTTCTTGAAAGCATTTTTCTTTCAGACTTTACTAAGCAAGTTAGACTTGGAGTCCTGGGGAGATTATGAAGTGGTAGAAGAAAGGAATGAAGGTTGAGTTCAGTGTTATTTCCAAAACCCTTCCTAGGAAAGCAATAATTTATTATTCATTTTGGAATTCTAGCTATGGGGAGAAACCCAAAAAACTTCAATTATTTTGCCAGAGAGCCCAAAAAGTGTATCAAATCCCAAGTCAAATTGTTATGAGTTACCTTTTCCACCTGAATTTAATAAGCAATATAATTATCCTTTATATGTAATATGGATTCTAGAAGCAAGTTTTCCAATCTTCAGCATAGGCCAGGGCCAGATCATGTAGGTTCAAATACTCCCTCCACCATTTACTAGCTTAATAATTTAGGCAAGTTATTTACCCTCTCCGTTCTTCAGTTTCTTCATCTGTAGAAACGGACAAAAATAGCACGTATCTACCCCATAGGGTTGTTTGAAGGATTAAATGAAGTTAAGACTTATAAATACTTGCTAAATAAATTATATGATCCATACACCCATCCAGTGTGACAAGAACCACCACCACAAGTCACATAAGAAAATGCATTCCTTTACTTTTAGCTCTTCTGTTTCCTATCAGGGCTGTGCTTTGTCAACAGGGGCACATTATGTTAACAGACTTGAACTTTGAGAGAAAGGTGTTTTTATTTCAAATTACGATTCCTGAACACGGGGTGATATGCCATTCTGCTGTACACTCAGGGGCCCCTTAGAGATTGCAGCGTGAGGAGCATAACCAACTCTGGTCTGATATTTCTAAGGGACTTTGACATCCAAGGAGCCACTGAGAAACAGTTATTGGTATTCAGAAAAAGGGAGGCTAAGAAGTCATCCATAAAAAAAAACTGAATTGGAGAGCTGCCTGCATTTCGCTCTACTGCCTCTGGAAGAGGTGTGTTATCTAAAGTGCTTCCATAATGAATAATGGTTGAGAAACTGCCTTTACTCTCCCTACTGTACTCCCAGGCAGAAATCCATGGGCTCATGCCCATGTGTCTATCTGGAACTTAGTTATCACACACGTTTAGAGCAACCCATCTTTCAGAAGCCCAGTGTAAACGGGAGGGGCCGGCACACTCCGGGTTAGCCGGGTTTCTAAGGTCAGACCCGAGCCCCAGCACTTTTTCCAGAGCCTAGTTCTTCAGATCATCTCGGAATCTGCTACCTTTGTTTACATTCTGAGCTTGGCTCGGCACCACAAAGCATTATTACCTTCTAAAAGGGGAAGCATCTTGCATCTCCAGACAGTGCCTGGAGGAACAAAGTTCGTTCTCCTGGATATGGAGGATGCCTCTCCTGCAACACGTGCGGGTTGTGACAAAACCTTTCAATAACAAGGACCGCGTAAGTGAGGCGGAGGTAGGGAAAGGCGAGGACGTCGGCGTGGGGCAAGCGAGCAAGTGTGGAAGCTGTGCGGGGATTCTTCTAGAAAGTGGGGTGGGAAAAGAGCTAGGGAGGGCGTGTGGAGGGAAGGGATCTGTGTCAGAACGTGCGTGTGAGCGGATACAAAACCCGAGAGAGGCGTGAGCAACGCCGTGTGTGCGAGCGGGAGCGAGGGGCGCCGGCTCGGGGCGTGTGCGCCTGGGTGAGTGACACTGAGGGGCGGGCTGGCCGGCGGGCAGGCGGGCGGGGGCAGCCTGCGAGGGGCGGGAGTGTCCCTGCGTGGAGCGGGCCGACCCGGAGTTTTGTCAGCGAAGGAATCCAGTCGGGGGCCGAGCTGGCTGCGCCCTCCGCCGCGAGCGCCGGCAGCGCGGGGAGAGCTCCGGCCGGCGCGCGGCCCAGGCAGCGGCTCCCGCTCCGCCCGCCCTGTGCGCAGCTGGGGCCGCCACCGCCGCTGTGCGTCCCCTGGCGACCGCGCCCCCGACTCCCGTCCCCCGGTCCGGGACGGAGTGCCCGGCGATCAGCGCAGAGGTAAGCCCGGGACCCCTGCCCGCCGCGGCCGCCCGAGGTTCCCTCCCCGCCTGCCGGGCCCGAGCCGGGACGCAGGACTCGGACGGACTCGGCGGGGCCTGCGCCGCCACGACAGTGCCTGGGTCCGGGCCGCAGGTTCCGCAGCCCGGGCCGCCCAGCCTCCGCCGCCTCCGGGGCGCTGGGTGTGGCCCCCGCTCGGCGCCGACCTGACGCGGAGGTCGCCGTCCTTCCTTTCTCGGGCCCGCGCGAGCCGGCCGGCGGGCGGGCGGGCGGGCGGGAGGAGGCGCCGGGCTCAGCTCGCATTTGCGCGCCCCAGGCGAGCGTGTGGCCGCCGCGCTCCGACGTGGACCCGCCCGCCCCGGATCTGAATCGGCCGCGGTCCGTCGACTGCCCTCCCCCGCGCGAGCGCCCCCTGCCACTTGCAGAGCGGAGTGCGACCCACCCCCTCCCGCCATCCGCCGGCCTCTCGCTGCGAGCCGCGGAGCTGCCCGCCTCGGCGGGACCATCCCGCTCTCGACCGTGGCCCCGCGCCCCTCGGCGCCCCCGGGAGCGGGATGCAGCGGCCCCCAGTGCCCGCAAACTCGCTGCGATTGCAGGCGGGGAGTAAACGGGACCGAGCGGTCGCGCAGCCGCGTCTGGGCGGGTGGACCCGGAGTCCGCAGGCGGCGGCCTGGGCTCGGCATTCGGCCGCGGACTGAAGCCCAAGACGGCGGTTGTTTCGGAGGTGCGGAGAGGGTTCTTCCCGCTCTCTGGACTTTTCCGAATCTCGGAAGATCGGCCCCGCTTGCTCGCACTCCGCTGCTCGCTCGCTCTCGGTTCGGTTGTTAATACTCAACTGCACACGTAGGAGGTGAAGGGCTGAGACTTGACCTGGACAGGGATGCGACCGAAGCCTCCCATCTTCGCAAGTGGAGGTTTCTAGTTCTTGAGGGGTTGGTTTGTGTTTGTGAACTTCTTCAGCTTTCAGCTCCCAGCAGTCCGGATTTTAGCGGACGCCAAGGTTTTGGAGACCTGACACTCAAGTCTTCCTGTACAGCATTTTCCTTTGAGTGTGTTACAGAATCTAGCTTGAGAACTAGCGAAAAAGCTTGAACTTCAAACACAGCCTCTTTTCATAAAATGTTAGGTGCAATATTTTCACTTGTTTAAAATTTCAAAAAATGTTATATTAGAAACTTTTACCAGCCCCCTCAGAAGAAAAAATAATTGAGTCTGAAATTTTAAAATCTATGCAAAGGAAAAGACTTTTATGCCACTATTTGAAAGAGTGAGGGCGTGTGACCTTTATGACATCCGTTTGGTTTGTCTTAAAGGAACGACTCTTTACCATTCTGATTGTTTTCTGGAGATAAAGCAGATGCGCAATATGGAAGGGAAAAGATGGGACAGGAAGTCAGAAATTGCTTCATTCCGGAAAAAAAAAATATTCGAGTAACACATCCAGTTATTTTGAAAGATACTCTGAAATTAAAGACTAAGTTCCTTTCTGGATAAACTATTTCATTGGCCTTATAATATAAATTGTATTACTTAAATGGAGAGGGGTACTTTTATCAAGTAACTGTAGAGTTTAAAAATATCTGTGTATGATAATATTTGTTGGATCTTTAACTGGGGAAAAAATGAACTTTGGGAATGATTTTCTATTTGGACCTGGCACTTACTGCTGCAGTCTCTAATTAGAGTTTTGGATTAAACTCAAGGTTTGTTAAAGCCTATTTTATGGAGCAGCAGAACAAAAAGCATGGAAAATTCTGTATCTGTGTGGCTTTAAACACACACAAATTAATCCCAAAGATAATTTGCATAAAAATACAATCACTTGAATGCAGAAAATATTTAAGAGGATAGTAAAAACTCAGCATTTGGGAAAGGAGTATATTAATTGGCAATTTTCTTTCTTTTTTTAATCCCTGCCTCTGTAAATATTAAATGATTTCCTAGGAATAAAGTTAGCTTAATGTGCTTATTTAGACAGGCAAAATGATCAAGATCCTTTTGTGCTCATTTTATTTTAGGGAGGGCTCTAATGAAAGTCTTCATGATCTGCTCTGTGCTCAGACTGATTTTCAAGTGGTCATTGTGGGGATAGGTATTTATGGGCTTGTGAAGCTGCTTTGCCACCTCTGTCATGATCCGGGGAAGAAAATGCTTAGGCCACACTCACCATTGCAGTCTTTGAAGTGCTGCCAATCAAAAACACCTCATAGATAAATTTTGCTGTGCAGATGGATATACTTTCCATCCGAAGTTAATCTTTAGAAATGTCTGATTTTTAGTTCTAAATTTTTTTCAGTTTCTCAGTCTCTGATCATAGAATTATGCTATCATTCACAACAAATACTCATTTATGGCTTTTTGTGTTGAAGGTGCCTAAATGGTCTGTCTTCATTCTACTACCTTTATACAGTTTTAATCAGCATCTTATGAGGTAAGCCGGGAAAGGAACTTTTGGTTGCATTTGATAAAATAGAAGAAGTTGAGATTGCTCATGGTAGGATTGAAGCTACTACCACCTTTCTGAATATGAGTGCTGTAGGTTTTGTATGCATTAAATGGATACTGCTTACTCACTGTACGTAGTACTTCTTTCCTAGTCATCATGTCTGTAAACCCTTTATTGTTATTTGACTGTAATAATTGAATCATAAGGCTGCTGTAATTTTTGTACACAGAATAGTAGCTTTTATAAGCATGACACAGGACATGAGGGCAGATATGTAATATGAATAGAGTGATAGAGTCTGTTTATTGATCTCTGAATGTGCATAATTCAACTAATCAGTTCATTCCATCACTGTTCTGTCTTGCCATGTAATCACACAATTAAAATATGGTTTTCATGATATACAGTGTTGAAAATCAGTACACTTAATTATAGAAGAAAAACAAACCTTTCTTTTTTCTTCCCCCTTTTAAAGTAGTCTGCTATGGAGGTGTTATTTCCTTGACACATCAAAATGGGTAATTTGGAGTTGCGATGCTTGTTATGTAAATAGGCCATATGTTGAATTTCTACAGAAGTTTATTTTTTCAGTGTTGTAATGAATAGGATCCCCTAAGTACCACAGTCAAGAAAAATAGTCTATGAAGATGTATTTCTCTCTACTACCTATATCATTTCCACTGTATGTGTTTAATAGCTAATATTTTTATTTTGTAATAAAAAAATTCTTAATTGTGATTGTGTCACTTGTCCTTACATCATACAAACCTTTAGTACTGACACAAACTTCGTATTCATTTATGCACCTCTTTAACAGACTTTTCATAGTGGATGTCTTGCTGCCAGGTTAAAGGCTACCTGCCTGGTAACAAACTTTTCATATTTCTGCTAAACCTTTTCCTTTCACAACGAAATACTCCTTTTCTGGATACTCAGCATTCGCTTTATCACCCAGACTTGAGACCTAGGAACCATCCCTGACTCCTCTCTTTCTTGTTCTCTCAGTAAAACTGTGCAAGTCTTGATAACTCTTCCTTTGTAACAGTTTCTCTGAGCCAGCCCCCACATTTCCTTTGTATTTCTCACTCTCCTGCTGACAGCCCCGGCCCTCAGCCATCACTGTGTTCTAGGATGACAGAACATCCTGGTCTCTCTGTACGTGAGTTTTCTCCATTCTGCGTACTTCCACCACATCAACCTTCCCAAAACTCTTCTCCTTGGAGCTCTTCTCCAGGGATTGTCTCACTGGAAGCCTGTGTTGAAGTCTGGTTTACCTGATTCTAAAGTGAGTGCTCTTTGCACTAGTTAAAATACTTTCCATACCTCCTCCTCCCCTCCCCCACCCCCAATTACCTTTGGCATAAAGTCTAACCTCTCAACCTGTTTTTAATGTACTTCACAGTCTTGCCCAAATTTTACTTACCAACTTTATTGTATACTTCTTTCCAACATGAACCTTTATTCCTACTAATTGGATCTCACTGCCCTTGGAAGCTGACTTTGTACCCTTTTGTTTATGATTGACCTTTTAAAATGCCATTCCTTTTTCCTCTGACCTAACGCAACCTTTAGGTTCTAGTCTACTTGCCCTATTCATGTTACTCTCTTTGGTTTTTTGCCTTTTCTGCCCTTTTGTCTGCGTCATTCCTTTAGACCATCAGATGTTTTCTCATACTATTGTGTTCTTAATTCTTGCTTTCCCAACTAGGTGGCAAGTTCCTTGAGGGCACTGATGTACCTTGAATGCTGTCTTTGAACCATGTACAGCCCTTGGGCACAGCAAGCACTTGATACCTGTAGCATCAATAAGCTGGAAGGGTGAATTTGTTTTTTTTTTAATAATAGGCTTTGATATTGCCTATGTACTCCTCACCATTGTGTCCCAGAGCCTAGCTTGCAGCTTGACTCCTAGCCTTGACCTCAATAAATATTTGTTAACATAGAAATTAATGTTGACATTGGATGAAAGGGACAGACAGGCATTTGAAGGAAACATTTGTCAAGGAGTTTTTCCCATTTTTCTTTGGTGTTTCTAATCAGCCTCTCCATTCATCAGCTGTGAGGATTCTGAGGCCTGGTATTTTCCAGAGTTGAGATAATGATGAAGGCTGACAGTTGTGAGTTAGAATTAAGGAGGTTGTCATCATTTTAAGGTGGAGTGATGGGTCCCATTAGTGAGCAAAAATAAAAACATGCAGGCCTTATGCCAGTATTTTATACGTAAAACAATTAGACTAGCGTTATCGGTTATATAAAAGTTCAGTTAATTGGCCCTAAAATCCCAGCGTGTATTACAGGCCTACCCAACCTTTTCATTTAAAAGTTTTCTTGTAAAGTAAAAAAATAAAATAAAACTAAAAATAAAAAAATTACCTGGGGATCCATCTGGGGATGAAAGGCGAAGTAGGGAAGAGTTGACACACCTATTGTATTCAGAACAAAATTCAATTCTTTACTTTTTTATAAGATTCATTTTGTACATGGCACTGTTTCTTCCAGGAAGGAGTTTATGGTCTAAGCAGGAGAAAGAACATGTATCCTAGAAACAAAGGCC